GATTCATATTTCTCAGTAGGCCTAAATTTCCAAAAGTGATTAGTGCTTTTGAATGCCTAACTTGAAACACCTAAAAAGGGCTGATTTTCAGAAGTGCTGAGCACCTGTCCTCTGAAATTCAGGCCCCTTAAAGGTGTCTCAAATTGGCCTATCCAAAAGTTGAAACTGCCCCAAATCATTTTTGAAAATGTAGGCTCCAATTCTGCGAAGACATATGTGGATGCTTAACTTTAAGTACCTGAGTAGCCTCATTAACTTCAGTGAAGCCACCCAAGCACTTAAATTTAAGAATATGAAGTCTTTGCATGTCTCTGGCCTTTGTTTTTTTGAAGGAGGACAGGTGTAGCAAGTGAAGGAAGTTGGCTGATGACTTGAAACTCTTCAGGTTAATGAAAACTAAGAACTGTAACTCCAGATCTACATAAAGTGAGGGATTGGCAGTATGATATAGGATAGAATTTAACTTAGATAAAGGTAATAAACAGAGTTGGCCAAAATTTTTCCAAGGAAAGTTTTTTCATCAGTAAATAGGTTTGCATTGAAAACAAAATGTTTCACAGACCATTTTGAATTTTTGACAGATTTTTTGTCTAAAATTTTTTCAAAATGAAAATTTTAGATCCCCCCATTGAAACGTTTCCCAAATAAAACTATGCAAGAAATAACTGAAATTTTAGAATTTTCAATTTTTCTCATTTGAAATTGTGTTTCCCCCCATTTTCTGACTGTTCTCCAACCTTTGCCAATTCAAAAGCAGTCCGAAAGCATTGAAAGGGTTCTTTCTCTTTTAAAGTAACACTTTCAATGATAAAGAAACTCTTTCATTTTGAAGTGTTAACACTAAAACCAAAGTTATTTTTATAAATGAAAAGTGGCATTTCTCCCCCCTCCCTCCTTTCTTATTCTTCTCAAACTGGAAAAAGCAGAAAAACGGTAAAAAGGGTGGGGAAAAAACCCCACTTTCCCATATTTTTGATGGAAAATTAGAATTTCCCAATGGGAACATTCTAAAAGGGATTCTTCACACAACACAGAGTCAATCTGTGTAACTCTTTGCCAGAGGATGTTGTGAAGGCCAAGACTATAACAGGGTTCAAAAAAAGAACTAGATAAGTACATGGAGGATAGGTCCATCAATGGCTATTAGCCAGGATGGGCAGGGATGGTGTCCCAAGCTTCTATTTGCCAGAAGCTCGGAAGGGGCGACACTTGATGATTACCTGTTCTGTTCATTCCCTCTGAAGCACCTAACTTTGGCCACTGTCAGAAGACAGGATACTGGGCTAGATGGACCTTTAGTCTGACCTAGTATGGCCATCCTTAGGTTCAGCCAGCTCTATTAATAAACATTGTCAAAAAACAAAACAAAATACAACACAACAGGAAGAGCAAAATTTAATATATGGGAAAGACATAGGGGTCTTTGAGGAGATCAGTGAAGGCATATAGGCAGTGCCTGGCAGCAATTAAACAGGACAACTGTGTGCATTGAAAAAGGATGGGAAATTACACATACATTACTATGCCATGACAAAAATATCATATAACCTGGATTATCTCATTTTATTTGAGATGGCCACCTAATCAATAGCAGTGACTGGAAAACTACCAAGAAAGGTGTTGAAAATGGCTAGAGAAGTGTAAGACTGCTAAATCTAGGATTGTATCAGATAGCACCGCATTTAAATAAATCCTTTATTGCCTAATCCTCCAAAGCAGAAGAGTTCAAGAGGAATTGGTTAGAACCAGAAAAATAAAAAAATTAACCCCTTCCTCTTACATTGTCCTGTGTACCTCAGCTAAAACCACTTCTGCACAGGGATCTAGGAAGGACAAACAAGTCCTCCCACAATACACTATACACCAATTGCTAGAATTGTTCCTGTTGGTGAAGCACTAAGAGCTCTGGGATATACATACCCCCATTAATTCTAGCACTAAACACATGCAGCTGCTGTGTCAGAAGAGATGTGGGTATACTGGGGCATGTGTGGTTCTGTAGTATGGGCTCTTGGAGGCAGGCTTGGCTAACATGCAATCACATGTGCACAAGCCAGTATGTGGGTACACATTGCAGCATAGACTTATCCTTAGAAAACACCCCTAGTGACCTCAACAGGGGCAGGGAATACAGGCCTACATCAAAATGAGAACACAGGATACTCAATACTGTTAAAGTACAGGAAATTTTGAACAAATAAAGGGTAATTACATCTTCGCACGGTTTGAATTCTGTGGAATTCACTGCCTTAGGGTCAAAAGCTGTGGCTCGATTAAAGAAAGGTGTGTAATTTTATTACCACTAACAAAATGTGTAGCTTTGTAAGATAAAATAAAAGATAATGAAATCTCATGTTTTAGTCTGTAAATCTCATATGGGACTCAAAAAGTAATGTTCCTCCAGAGCACTTTAAAGATCAGATAGACAGACTACAAGCTCTTTAAGGCAGGAATGTTCACTAAATCCCACTGAAGGCAATGGGACTTTTTCTACTGATTTTAATGGGTGCAGGATTGGGCTCTAAATGGAGAGACTCAGTACATAAAATGTAATGAGGAGGATACTGGACTGGAGCAGGTATTGATCCCTTTCCATTGCCAAATTATGTTTGCTATGTTTTCAACAGAAATGTTTTCCTGAAAATTCTCATGTCTGTCTGAATCATATTACTTTCAAACTATTATTTTCAGAGTCGAGAGTGGACTGAATGGAAGGAATCACTGCCCTGCATAGAGTGTTACATAATTCTTCAGGCTACTATAAATCTTTCAGTTTATTTACAGTAAAAAGAATACTCTTACTTGCAGAAGACTGTGGAAAGCATTTGCTTATGATGCTCTGAAGGACAAATGTTTGCTAATCACAAAACTCCCCACTCATTTATTGAGAATACACAATGGGCATTTATATCTGTGGTAAGCAAGCAAATTATTTTTCGAAGAAAAGAGAGACCAGGGTACGGTAATCACTATGGAGTGGGGACTCCTTTTCCTGCAAGCCTTTGCTATAAATGCGTTGAAGAAAAATGTAACCACAGTGTGATATAAGGATACTTGCATGAGTCAAGATTTGTAAGATCAGATGCTGCTGATCTTTAAAGTTGCCTAAGCTACCTCACTGCAATGCATATAAATTGTATTAAACAACAAAGCATAATAAGAGAGTCATCACAAATATAGTGTTGAGGATTTTAAAAAAGTTTGCTGTTGCTTTTATGGACATCACTTTAGTGGTTCAACTGAGGTAAATTACTGATTTAGGGCATGGTCAAAAGGCAGATAACTTTTGGAGAACTGAGCTAAAAATCTACTAAAAGGTTACTTAAACATGGGGCTAACAAGTGAACTGCTTCAGGTCTGCATATGGAAAAGGAATGGATAGATGCAAATAGCATCAAGTATTCACTTTGTGGGTGATGAAAGTCTGATATCCTTGTGTCACTAGTATCTGTCAGACACTACATTTGATGAAGAACACACAATGCTCATGTGTATTACAGCCATCTTTCTAAGACCTACTCAGTGTGCGTGAGGGCAAGGAGTAAGCATATCGCTCCCTAGTGTCTACAGCCACAGAAAATATAAGCCCTATTCATACTAAGGACACATGAATGAGTCACAAGTTGTATAGCTTTGGAATCTATTGAAAATAGAGCAAAATATTTGTATGGATGAAAAGGAACAAAATAGCTGCTATTTGAATAAATGACTTATTTTAAATGGTACTTCTAGATTTAACAAAGCTGAATAATATCATTACATCATTTTATAGTAAAAATAATAGCTATAGCATTCCGGTCTAAACTTTGGGCATTGGGCCTTCTGCTGCCCTCCAGGGGCCAAATCTTTCCCTCCTAAATCATTTTGCCCTTAGGCAAAAGTACCATTCAAGTAAGCTCCAGATAGACTCTAGTGGCAGCTTTGGCTGAGTAACAGATGCAGCACTTGACTCAGGGTGTGTATGTATGTCTCTTTGTGACTCTACTGTGCATTATTCTTTCCACAGAAAATTGGTAAAATTAAGGGAGCCCCTTGAATGACTGATGATGATTTTGAGCACTGCAAATAAATCTTTTGTCTGCATGGTTCAGAACTAATTAGCCCCATCAGCTTCCTTCATACCAGTACGCCCACACTTATTTCTGTCTAATATGCTGGAAGACAAGGGGAAAAAAAGGAATGATTAACTCAAGCGGATTCATTCTGGGATGGGTCAGGTGATTATGAGGACAAGTGAAGGAAGGACTCCACACATCAATCTGATTGTCAGTGCCAGGGAGATATTTTTATCCATCATATATACTGCTATACAGTTTGTCTCATGTTTGGGGTGTATTGAAATGTCTATGCACACTTCTAGTTATCATCATTTCATCCTAATTCATCCTTTCATAATCAAGAATGGAACTAGAATAGGTATGGCAAGTACTTACTTATCCACAGAATATGTACAGCCTGAAAGTGAGAGCATCCACACAATAACTCAACTCCGACTAGTTGGGATCAATACTTGGGGTGTAAATCATGGGCCCCATTGACATCCCTGGGGCCACGATTTCACCCTATGTGTGGGAGTGTAGTTGATCCTGCATGCCCAGTCAGTGTTTGGTCTCTATGCTAAAAGTGACAATTACATCCAGCTGTGGGATTGGATTTGTGCTATGGACACCTGCTCACTAGAAAAAAAAAAAAGAGAGACCACGGACTGTTTTCTCATAGGCCCGCCATCAGATGGTAACTACTTCTGGCCACTGCTGAACTGGATCAAACTCATACTAGTGACCTAAAAGAGAAAATCTCCATATCCCATTACTAATTCTTTCAGACCTCTCCCAATAAGGTTTTAAGAATGCTACAACATGCTGTGTATGATACCTCTAGAGATTCAGGGGGGAGGGGAAGCAAGGACTCATTTACAATTTTCATGTATGTTTTAGAATACTGAAGTTTTATCAGAACACTGTTTAAACTTTATAATTAATGTTATTGTAGATACCAACCTTTTTATGCTTCCAAATTTTTGTGCATGACCTAAAATCTTTCCAAAATCTATATGGAACATGTGGCCAGTGTTTGTCAGCATGATGTTGTCATTGTGTCGGTCACAGACTCCCAGAATGAAGGTAACAACGCACCAGCCAGCACAGGAATGAAAGAAATTCTTTATTGCCTAATTAATCAAAACAAAAACACAAAGAAGAAATATACAGTAATGTATTTTTGTGATACTAACACAAATACCAAGTCCTACAAGCTCTTGTGCACATGCTTAAAGTTAAATACAAGCCTAAGTGTTTGCAGGTTCTGGACCTAAACTAATAACATGGGAACTGCCATAGTACAACAGACCAATGGTTCATCTAGA